AAAGAGGAGGTAGAATTTCATTATATAACGGAAATTAACGCGATTAAGACACAGTTGGTGGTGACATCGGGAACAAATTTATTTCAACACTGGATGCAAAAAAATTCAAAACTGAACAAAACTGAGCTGACATCACTTCTGACAGCAACAAACGATGAAGATGAACTCGAAATATTGGAAACCTTCACCTTAGCTTTTGTGAAAAATGAAAAATAAAGGGTAAATGGAAAGAAAGAAAGTTTGTAGCTAATGTTTTTTAGATGTCAAGAATGTCTGAACAGGTTCCAAAACTGGGGTTAAAATACTGGAAATTAAGAGCGCTTAATTAACATTGGGGAAATTAACGCTCAACAAAATTAACGCGACTTAAATTAACGCGAATTTTAACGATTCGCGTTAATTTCCTATGATATTAGGTATACAGGTGTCTATAATGCAGGCTGGGTTCCAATGTAAATAAATAGTCTGCAGGCTGTAATATACTACATGTAATGTACTTACCCTGCACTACCTCCATGTTTTAAACTGAATTTCCCAACAGGCTTATCAAGGTCATCATGCACAAGAATGACATTGCAGGGATTCACATTAAACATTGCAGCTGGAAAAAATAATATATATACACACTGTTATAATTATTACAGACAAAACACCAAAGCGACTGGTCTCCGCGACATGTACAACATATTCTGAATCGTAGTCAATAGTTACCGCCACTGTAGAAATGACTTACTGACAGAATCAAGCAAAAACAACTACAAGAGAACAACATGACAACTGACAATTTGAATAACCAAAAACTACTGCTTAACTGTGTCGATACGCGTATCAAAACGCACCAATAACATTACCAGTCTTCATAGCCAAATTAATGGCTTCGTGGCTTAATTGACAAACAACCAATAACATAGTGACTTAATTGACCAATCAGGTCAATAACCAGAGATTAATACCATCAACAGACGTGAGACAAGTCACTTTTACTCTGAAGATGACTACAGCACTGGTTGTCAAAACGTCAGTCACTGTCAATGGGCAACAACACTCCTATTCAGGACTATCTTCACCCGGACAATCATGTTTCACCTACGAAATGACTGCTGGGTACAAACCTTTCACAGTATTATTATTATAATATCATTATTATTGGTAAGTACGCACCGGTCCTTGAAATGCTTTTGCCATTTACATTCATTGCCAGAGTGGGTTTCAACATTATTAACTGACGATTATTCACTTTTGTTACAGCCACATGACCCAGTGATCTTCTGTTAAATTGCCAAGATGTGCCCAGCTGTTGGCTTAGACAGTCAACTACAAGCATCCCTACACTGTGCCTTGTATTAGGCAGGGTGTAGTTACCTAAACCAACAACCTGCAGTAACAACAGAGAAAAACTCAGTGACACAAAATTTCATTAGGTTTATAGTCAAGTTGCCCGAAAGTCATGTTGCCTAAAGTTATGTCATCTGAAATCAGAGTTATGTCACTCAAAATTTTTAGTCAAGTCGCCTGAAATGCTGAATATGTGGCTCAAAATTTCATCTTACTGAAAAACATCCTTGCATCCTTATTACACATTTATTGCAGTTGGTCTGTACCATCGAAGATTAAAGAATGTGATAAGTACTCATTGATCACCCTTGTTTCATTGCTCATCAATGGTTCAAGAGCATGATATATAACACATTTATACTGCTTGTTTCATCTCATCATCCCTTAAAAAATAACGTATGTTACACATTCATTCCCCTTCTTTTGTCTCCTTATGGTTTAAAGAACAAGACACTGACACTCTTTATTCAACAAAAAATAACTTTGTTTCCCTGTGCACTATCACCTGAAAAAATTCAGGCGACATGTCCACTCAGCATTTTGGGCAACTTAACTCTGGTATCAGGTGACATAACTCCAGGCGACTTGACCAGTTACAGTGTACCTTTCATTAATGCTGAGAAATCCAACAGAAGTTTATCAAGAAGATTGCTAATAAATAGCAACAAACTACCATAAAAACTGGCAAAAGTTTAAGGATGGGTAACAATTAGAGGTATACTTGTAATGATAATTATTTGGTGAGGAAAGCAGTGTTTAAACTATGCACTAGAAATATTTCTGGATTTTATTTTTAAGTCAGCCATTGCATTTAAGCTGTCGTTTTGTGACTTGCTCATGAATTTATTACATCCTGATCTTTGATGTGAATTATCATGACAGTCAGTGAGCAGCAGTGGCAGGTCTACAGTTTGTATGGACTATCCTGGGCAAGCTGGGCCCCTACGTCATAATTTACAGCACGTCACAAATTGATCGAAATTGATCATCGAAAACGTAATTGATTAATCGATAGTACTCGATAATACTCGATATTTGTTGATTGATTAGTTATAAAAATCGATAAAAATCGATAATCACAAATTTGCCTAGAGTCATTCTTTTTTTTTTCCATTCGAAGCTGTACTAGCGAGCGGTACGTATGTTGACTTATTGAGTTATGTTTTTTATGTTTTATATATTTTTCGATTAAAATCAATAAAATCAATCGTTTAAATACAGAAATCGACAACATCGATAATGACAAAAACTCGACCGATCGATTTCCATCGATTTTCGATATCAATCGATAAATCATAATCGATTATCGATTTTAATTGAGCATCAAAAATATCGATTTGTAACGTCCTGTTATTTAGTAGATTGAATGAACATATTCAAGGCTTTCAGAGTTTTACCTCATTTTTAAATAATTATTTTTAATTATAAATCATTTTTTTTTAAAAAATTCCCATCTGTAATACTCATCTGTCTTAGAAACCAAAAGCGTAATAATTGAGCTAAAATAACTTGATGATCAGCTGAAACAGCGACATAAGAGTACAAACACATTTACCATTGCCCGTAATTTCTTTGCGTCGGTGGCTTGAGCTTGACGTAAGTTCCTTTGGCAGATAAATTTGAACGGCTTTGATGTATTTAGTATCCCTGAATAAATGGGAAACACTCGTTCAAGCACAGTTCTGGACCTAACTGGCATCGTACAATTTTCATCGAAATGTACTGGACGCCCGCGTTTAATTCAGCGGTAAAGTAAATTTCAGGACCAGTATACACGACCTGCAAACTGCTCTTCACAAGATGGCGGTGATTTTTGCGTGGCGAGTGTCACATTGCTTTTATCGACACTTTTCCCGTCATCTTTTAGTAAACAGCATTTTTCGTTCTGCAAGTTATTTACCACAAACTAGAATAATCTTATATTGTAAAAGATCTCTTTGCGGCTACGCACAGAATAATGCCTCTAAACTGGGCTTGATTGAACAGAGTTCCAAGTTTCAACTTGTTTTTACGTGCAAAGTATGCGACACACGATCGAGGAAGGTTATCAGTAAACAAGCTTATACCAAAGGAGTGGTTATCGTCAAATGCCCTGGCTGTAACAATAATCACTTGATAGCTGATAACCTAGGATGGTTTTTCAATGACGAAAGGTGAGAGTAATTTGCAAAACTTGTTCTTTTTTATAATTATCAGCAGAACTGGTGCTTTCATGGCATCGTTTTTAAGATTAATTTTGCTACAATTTTTGACAATTTTCGGTTGGTATGTATAGACAATTATAGCAATGGGCCAAACAAAACTTTCCACTGCAAGACCAAGCATCACTTATGTGGCCCATCCTGAATCGAAGCCAGAATACAAGTACTGTATACATGGACTGTATTACAAAAAATGATAGGCTTTGTACTACTACATGAGAAATTTCTGCAATTTGATTGGCTTAGAGCAGTGGTATTTCAGCTTAATTTGAAATACCTGCATGTGAAAATTACAAACCTTTTGTGGTAGTAGTATAAACAAATAATAGCATGATTTGTATGTGTTATTTGGTATGAATACTACTTGTGATATTTCAAAATTGTCTCAAATTTCACTCGCCTCATTGCTTGTGAAATTACGTGTAACATTTTCGAAATATCACTTGTGGTATTTATGCTAAACATCACATCATGCTATTACTTATACTAATTGTTTCAAGCTCGTTCCCAGGGTTCTCTCCTACCGGCCCTTCGGAGCGAGAGAGAGAGAGACCCTGGAAAAAGTTGGTCACATGTCTCCCAGAATCTGGGAGATTACAAACAAATGATTTGGGGGAGGGGCAGGTAAGTGTGAGATTTGTCTCTACAGAGCGTAGACAGGTCAGTGCAGCCATCAAACTGTGTACCTGACCTGATCTTCAACACGGAAAATAATGGACAAAGTCCTTTGACAGCGAAAGTGTAACTTCCTGCAGATTATCTGGATGTTAATTGGATGTTTATCAGCGATGCTTTCATTTGGCACATGCAACGGAAATCACGGAGGATTGACCGTTTGCGCAGTCGAAAATAATTTAGGTATCCTGGTAGTAGTATTCATACTGAAACGCACTAGATTTGAATTGCCGTTTATATGTTGTGCAGGCCACTTTAGAAAACAAATGTACAGTATCTGTATGTGTTTTCAAGACTACTGTTATGCAAGGCGCCGAAAACATGTATCAAGCGTTGCTGTCCTCACCCTCGACCTCAAACTGCCTCAAAGCAACAGGAAGAGAATACACGGCTTGGACAGTCAGGCTGATTGTTAGCTATTGTTCAAATGGAAAGAGGTAAAGAGAATCTTGAAAGAAAATATTTTTAGTCAAGGCTCTGTGTTTTTGCATTTTTTGTCGTCGTTTATAATTACCAGGATAGCCGTAAGCTTCTTTGTTAAAAAATACTGTATGATATGGCTTGCACAATTGCCAACCGTTTAATGTTCCTTATTAATTTTCTGGATGTTTAGGTATGCTTTAGAGGATTTTTAGAAATCACTGAGCCACATGTGCTTTTAAATAAAGTTTTCATATTGGCCATAAACAAGAAAGCCTTTCGCTTGGAAGGTTATGTTGTCTGTTTTGTCTCTGTTTATACTATTTCCTGTTGTCTTACATGTCGCGTTGGTATATAATATATTATTACTTTTATCTTTGATCTATTTACGACTTTTCTTTTGCCGCATCAAGACAAAGGTTAGGGGGTGGAAAATGCTTACATTTTAGGCTATAGCTTTCCATGAAGTCACTAGATCTAAAATATTACTTTGATCGTAAATGTATTAACTGAATTTCTTGCTCTCAATGTAACTGCCATGGTTTTGTCATGCCGAACCGCTAAGACCGCAAATAGTGTAGGTTTATTTGGCCCGATTACCAGCCGCTGTAAAGACAAACATTGAAACTGTTAATAGAGAAGTTCAACATACAGGGATTTTTTTACATTCAAAATTTAACTCGCTTGTGTATAACTCAAGATCGTAGATTTTTAGCGATTGGTGTCATCGGTTAAACCAGCGACAATGCTAGTTTTTGATTCCTTCTCTGGTAATTCACTTGTTTATCTGATGGTTTTATTTAGGCAGGAATTTCCTTTGGTTTCAGTTATAGTTGTAGTAGGGTTAGCAAATCTATCTTGCTGTTGCAATCACTACATCGTGAATAAACCAGACAAAAAAATGTGAGACAAAGGACTCCTCCCTCAGAAATAATTTTGTTCTGGAGCCACGTGACCAGCGTTTTCCAGGGTCTCTCTCTCTCTCGCTCCAAAGGCCGGGTAGGAGAGAACCCTGGGAACGAGGTTGTAATTGTTTGTGTTGAAGTATTTTTTTGTGCACTTTGTAATATGATGTCCCAACATATGAGAAGAATCTCTACTCTGTCAAATGTACAGTACATGTACAGTATACATCAACACAAAAGATTTCCTCTGAAAATTAAATTTGCTGCTGCTGCATGTGATCAGTCTTGTTGTATGGATGGAAAATCCATCCTGATACTGAGTCAGACTGCACATGATATATTGGCATCAAAGTTACTTCATAGATCTTCTGTTAGTCAGGCATAATAATTATTCACAGGGTTTTAGCAATCTGTTATGCTTCATGTAGTGCAAAAATTTATCAATGAAGTACATTTTGATGTCTCAGAAAACACAAAGATAGGAGTTATCCTCTCTTATAACCCTACAAAGTCATGTTGTTGTAAAAAGTTGTGGAATTTTTACAATCAGTTATTGATTTTGCTAGATAATGCCTTCATGTACATGGATTATTGTTGTGGATAGCATTTTTGGTATTTAAAAATATATCTTCTGAAAAATATACATGTAGAAGTTTTCCAAATGGTCAGAAATTGGAGGAATTTTTAAAACACCAATGTAATCTGTGCTTGCCTCTTGGTAAGGGAGGAAAAACAACAAAGCCGAGTGCTTCAGACAACAGCAGAATGTGTGATTTTATTTTTAAACTACAGTTCACATTGTACAATAAGCCTTGAAACTCAATTGGACAGAAAGTCTGAATATCATGTCCTCTATGATAGTTATGAGTGTAATATTGTTCTTCCAAAAAACAAACAGTTGATAAAACAGACTTTTACCAAAGCCCATTGGTAGCACACGAAAAGCCTTCCAGAAAATTTGCCAATGCCACATATTTTAAATTTTGTCCATCAAATGATGGCTTGTTAACAAAGAGGTAGCATTTACAATGAACAATCTATGGGGTTCAAGGGCATATCCCAGACCCTTGAAAACGTTCTCATGCTACAGTGTACAACCCTGCATTACTTGCACACCAGTGATATATGTTGTGGTTCAATTTTCTCCTCAGTTTACATTTTATTTCCCTTTGTTTTGAAGTCATTATCGCACATTACCATACCCCAAAACAAAGAGAAATAAAGTTTAAACCAAGGATAAATTGAATAAGAATTGAGGAAAAAGTGCCCTTAAATCCTCCTTATCAGGCATTTTTGGAAAATGTTGACCTTTACAGGGCTGGTGAAAAGCACATGCTGAATATAATTATGATATAGTTATTTTGTTGAACAAATTTATCGATTCCTTTTTTTGAGCTAACAAACTTGAACTGCATGTAAAAAGTCAGTGTTTATGACTTTTGGTGTGTGTGCAGTTTGAAACATTTCTGATACATTAAGACACAAAATCAGAAAACTAGACCTGCCAGACTACGTTACCAATAATGCTAAAGTGCTGTAGAATTTGCAGTGAACAGATCAGATGGAAAAATAAATGTATCTTTTTAAAAGCAGGTTACAGTAGTTTTGTAAATATTCACATTTCTAGCATTTTAGTACTGTCGCTTCATTCTGGTTTTGACTGTCCCAAGAAATCCAATTGAGCAATCTTTTTTAGTTAGTTAAAATGTGTTTTCACTTTTTTACATGTAACCATACACTGTTGACCCTTTTTGCTGTATGTACATGTAAATCAGTTGTACATGCATTTTATGATTAAATTGCCTATAAAATCCCTATTTCACAAAATACATTTTCTATTTATTTTATAGGAATATTGAGGACATACTCGCTGAAAAAGGAGAGACAGTGAAGAGGGTTTTAGATAGTGATTCCCAAGAGTATTTTATTGAAGTTGAAAAGAGCGATGAAGATGAACATGGACAAATCACCGACAACAATACAGACAATAAGAACACGTAAATGTACATTCTGGAAGCTTAACATTAAATCTCTTTAGCTTGTATGTTTTGTTTTCCCAATATAGGTCCCAGGGGAACTTGATCCATTGTCTTTCCAGAAATTATGCGTAGACATGTATGTGAATAAGACTAAATTTGAATGAATCTGTTCCCTAGAGTATTAGCACGTGACCTGTATTGGGGAAACAAAACATTCAAGCTAAAGAGGTCACCGAAATACTTGTAACATACCTCAAATGTGCACCAGCTTTTGTGCTTAACTTTTCCCAATGAGCTACATCCGAGGATGCAGACGTAGGGCCAAATAAAAATGTAGTTTCTCATTTACATACTCGCCAAAACAAGAGCACGCGAAATTTTTTTTGCTATTATTATTCAGACTATTGACGCTGGGCGAAATTCTCAATTAAAACAAAAGCTCTGTTATTGACCTATAACGAACAATTTTAATTTCGGCGACTCACGTTTTTTCTTGCAACGTGAGCCAAAACACAAAACACACGGTCTTAAAACACGTCAAGGTTACACTCGTGTTATAAACTGTAGTGCTATAACATTTCGTGCTTTTGCGATCACGATATCTCACAAGCTCAAGGGGGGATCAAGCTACATGTTCGTGTAACATTTCTTTTGTCAGTCACAATGTAAAAGTATTATTTATTTAAAATAGAAAATGACTACTTTGGAAATTTTTAGGGTAAAATCCCAGTCCGTCAAAACCTGCTATATAATTCGCCGGGAAAGTTTGTTTTTACAAGCCTCGCTCGGCTTCTACGGGTTTCGTTAGTCATCTCGATCAGCAAGATCTGTAAAATATACCTATTATCCGTATTTTTCGGAGATTTTAAATATGGACAGGGAAGACAGAAGTCTCATCGACCAGTATTTTCCTCAACTTGCTCAGGACATAATTCCCGTAGATATGTTGCCTTATTTGCCGTGTTTAACACAGACTGACAAGGAAGGTATCAAGAGCGAGGAAGTCAACAGAGGTCCTTACAGGGCTACCATATTATTACTGGATCGAATTCAGAGACGAACCAATGGCTTTCAAGAACTAGTTGACGCGCTGAGATGGACGGGCTGTGGACATTTAGCGGATCTTCTTGTTCCAGGAGGAGAAGGTAGATGGAGGATGAGAAATATAATATATATATATATATATATATATATATACATAGCACTAATATGAACAACTGAATGATGCTTATTTTTTAAAATATTATATGGTGATCATATAGTGATATTATTATCCTCCGGTTTTAAAAGTGCAGTTATAGTAACATGAAAAATTCTCATGAATTCACTGAAAACATTCAGTCACTTCATTTTTATTAAGGTTAAAACGTATTTCTGTTATTGGCTATTGTTTTTGTTTTGTTTTTTTGCGCTTCTTGAGCGCTGTAGGTAGATACTTCAGAGAAAAAAAATGAAATCACTGTATTTCAAGTTACTAAATGAATAAAACTATCCTGCAAGGCTAACGGAGACGACATACGGTAACTACTTAAAATCGGCAATTCGATGCGATCAGGGTTTAATCTCATCTGATGTGGCTTAATTTTGTCTCGCTTCATTTATCGCAAAACCAAGCTAAGTTCAAACATTGAAGAATCTTTACCTGTAAATCAAATACAGAGTCGTTAGGAGAGAAAAAGGCGGTATTACAGACACACTGTTAATATTTGTGACCGTTCTCAGGCACTTATTTCCCTTTTTTCAGTCTCTCCAGTCGACCTCCCCTTCAACTTCATGCTATTCCCGTGACCGGAAGTTGGATGTAGTGCCCTTTTCCCTTACTCTGGGTCAGTTGTTTATTGTGAAATTGAAAAATGATCGGTTCTTCTCTTTCCAGGAGGTCATCACGTAGACGATCCTCTAGAAATAGACCAGAGACGAGGTCCTGCGGAAATACAACTTCAGCCTTTAGACCAAGTAATAACTGACTGCATTGTAGAATACTTTCAGTATGTCGTTGATTTTTTCCTTTGCTCCGAGAGGTTTTTTCCGGGTACTACAGTTTTTCCCGCTCCTCAAAAACCAACATTTTCAAATTCCAATTCGACCACTGGCAACAGTCAGGTAGACGAAGAACCGGCGCCACGTGGATGTGCTACATTTTAATCGTTATTGATTTTCTTACTTCTTTGTCTTCTGAGCCTTTTTGTTTCGGTTTTCTGTAATCGAGCAATTACTAAGGAGACACGAACCTCTTCCTCCGTTTCAATAAATCCCCGGGTGAATAGATATGAAACCGAAAAATAATCCCCCGCAGTCTTTTCGTACGGTGAAGATTTAACGTTACGCGTTATGGCTTGTTATGATAGGAAACTGGCATCTACTTTAAAATTGTTCGCCTAACGTCTGAGGGATAACAACCCAACAGAGATATTGAACATCGACGAAAAACTTTACCAGAAAAAGTACCAGGAGAAAAATAACTCATCATTCCGCTGACGGTGGGATACTCTATGCTTAGGAGTTAGCTTAGAGAAAAAAAAAATGCATAATTTTGTTTAGCCCTATAAAAATGATTATTAATACGTAATCATTTTTCTTTCATTTGGAAGGTTGTTGCGGAGGACGTTGATTAAAAAAGAATAGAAAGCAAGCAATTTAGGAAGGTGAGTTGATCAATCGGACTCAAAGTTGAGATCATTTTCCTTTCGGAAGGCCCGCCTACTACAGCCATTACATACAGCACTTTGATTTATTTGATTATGAACACTGCATTCCAATAAACGCTTGGTGTGTAAAGTAGAAGGCTGTAAGTTAGACTGCAAAACTGGCGGTTTGTTTGGTGTGTTTTTCTCTGTGTCTCGCATAGTAAGGGGTACAGAGCGTATCGGGAGTTTTATCAAACCATGCGCACGGATTATTTTTCCCTAGCTTCTTCCTAAATATTTCGAGAACGAACCTTTGGAGCCAGGGTTACGATAATTCTCTTCCACTTAGTTTGGAAAATATCCTCCAGGCAGGCGGTAAAAAGTGAAATTTTAAACATTTTTTTTTTTAATTTCAGGACATTGCAAAGGTCATGCGAACAAGAAGCACCTCGGTAGTTCAAGAACATAGAGTAAAAAAATTCTACACACTTTCGCGGCACCGGTACACTCATATACCTTTAGAAATTAGAGCTTGAGGCATCAAACAGCTACAGACACCACGATAAACTCCCTTGAGAACATTTTTGAAGAAAATCAATGATTATCATGGCTCATCCAGTGTGAGGATACTATCGCAATGATAGCAAATTACGGTATTCTGTTCGAATCTCACCAGGAATTCAGAGTTTTTTCTGATTCTTATCTAGGTGATTTTCGTCTGTGTTACTATTTACATTGTCAAGCAGTAACTTAACGTTAACTCTGCCAGAAAAATCATAATCGCTGAATTATTTATTGAAATAACAATTTTTTAATGAGGTCATGCAGCGAAAAACTGGGCAAAAAGTAAAAAAACGGGACTGTCTTGATTTTCAAAGAATGCGTATGAGCCTTTTTCCTGATCAGAAATTTTCACTGGGTACTCTTTTTTTTTCGTTATATCACAGCGTGTGAGTTTTGCGTTGGGAACGAACCTATACCAGATACTCTGCTGGCTTTCTGTTGGTATTTTATCAGACTATTTTATGTTTTAAGTCGTCCTGCAACGCGCAGTTCTAATATATAGGTAAAATGGTATGCCATGCACAGTTCCAGACAGAAAGTGATTCCTAGAAATAACAACGAGAACCTAAAAATGCCTATTACATCTCACCTCGAAAATCTTTATCCACTGTACAATGTCGAACAATCTTTCATTATTATATGAAGACAAACTTGCACAAAACGAGAATAAAACAGGGGCACCCAACGAGGATACAGTTCAAAACCAGTTAAGATAGCATTGTTGAACGTATTGTAGTCTTTAAACGGCAGATATGGTATATTTTTATCCCCTAAAAACTTTTCATCTGTTCGGATTTCCTAGCTGAAAGTCTAGTGATCCGAAAATTATAGGGATCAAGACTATTTTTTTCGAAAATTTCAGCCAGGAAAAGGCTCCCGAAAATTCTAGGTGGCCTTTTTTAGGGTAAAAATCCGTTAAAAATGGATAATTATACCATTTTTTAGATGTTCGAAAATCCTAGGAGAGGCAGGCAAGCAAGCAATTTTGCAACAAATGTTCCGAAAATTCTAGCTCTAAAATCGTCTTCCGAACAGATATTTTCCGAAAATTGCCGTTGGGTGCCCCTGATAAAACTATTCCCTACACGTAAATTGGCTGGCCCGCCTAGATTAGCTCGAGCTAATTAATGGTCAGAGCACTTTTGCGAAACTTAAATAAGGAAATTAAAGATTGTTGTTGTTGTAGTCACCTCGAAAGTCTTTATTCATTGTAAATTAGTGCACAATCTTTCAAGAGTATATAAACAAACGTATTTAAAAAAAGATTAAAATTATTCCCTACACGTAAATTTACTGGCCCGTCAAAATAAGCTCTTGCTACCTGGGGGCCAGTGCACTTTTGTGAAACTTAAATAAGGTCCAAGGAAAATAAAGTCACTGAGGTATTCACGGTGGTGCCCCATTTAGCATCCCGGGAGCATTGCTCCTGATTTGACGTACTGCTCACACCACTTAGCTATAGCTCGAAATGGGTAGGCTTTCTCGCAGACTACTTTGACTCTACCTTTGATAACGGCTAGCTGGACTACAAGCACAAACTGAAAATGGAGCTGGTCAGAGGATTGCGAAATTAATTATGTAGAGATGACACAGGATAACAGCCTTTGTTGATAGTAACGCAATTACCGAGATCATTCCATTCATTCATTTCATTGTTCAAAGGCAATATTTTATGTACAATTTCATTTTCTCACTTATCCCACAAATATCTAGGGGTTACACATAAAACTCAAAAAGGAAAAGTTTTATGATTTATTTGAATCAAAACCTAAGGCTGTGAAAGTTTGTTGAGAGAGTTAAAATCGTCATAAGTGACTTGCAAATAACTGCC